GCCCACTATGAACGTTCTTGGGAGCCTTACCACAAGGAATAGCCTGCAGCTAGATTCTGCCGCTGAACTAAGGTCCCCATCTCCTTTACATGTTTGCTATGAAAATAACAAAAAGTTCTTCCATAATCATAATAAAAAAAAAAAAGTAACTTGGGGAAAAAAGACTGAAAGTTTGACCATGATAGAGGCACTGTGAGAGGAAAGACTTTGGACGGGGCAGAGTTAATATTTCCCTGCCTGGTTTCTTTCTCTCATCCCCTCCCACTCTCTCCCAATTATATGCCATTATTTCCCCCATTCACCTTCATTTCTGCTAGCCTGAGTAAGTGTGAAGAGTCTTTGTTTATGCCATAAGTACCAACCTATTTAGATAGCTGTTGGTTAACATTGATCTTCTTTGGTTTCCAACTAATTGTGCTGTTTATCTAATAGTTCTGTCAACAAAATTTTAGAATAGAAAAATAGAGAGCAAAATGCTTCTCAAAGCATTCTCATAACTGCAGAAACTTTACAAGGAAAAAAAAAACTGAAGAAGCTAAAAGACAAGTAATGTACAGACACTCCACCCAGAAGATGGCAAATAAGCACATGGAAAGATGCTCAAAGTTATTAGTCATTAGGCAAATACAAATTAAAACCACAATGAGATACCCCCACACATGCACTACATGGCTAAAAAAAAATTTTTTTTTAATGACCATACCAAGCGTGGGTGAGGATGTGGAGCAGCTAGACTCTCATCCACAGCTGGTGGGAACGTAGGATGGGACAGCCACGTTGAGAAACCAGTAGGTGGTTTCTTGAAAAGTTCAACATACACCTACCATTTGATCAGCTCCGGCCATTCCACTCCTAGGTATTTATCCCAAGAACAATGAAAACATATGTCTCCATGAAGACTTGTACATGGATATTTATAGAGCTTTATTTATAATTTCAGTTAAAAACTGAAAACCACTCAAATGTCTATCCGCAGCAAGCAGGTAAACACAGAAGGACATCTGTCTAATGGAATACTAGTCAGCAACAAAAAGCTTGAATATGGGTGAATCTCAAAATAATTACGCTGAGTGAAAGAAGCCAGAGCAAACACACACACAAAAGCATGTATTGTATGATGTCATTTGTGTAAAACTCTGGAAGATAAAAACTAATCCCTATAGGGACAGGAAGCTTGAAGATGAGATGGGATGAGGTAGGGAGGAAGGGTTTATAAAGGTACATGAAGAATATTCAATATCTTGATATTGAATATTCAATATCTTGATTCAATATCTTGATTGCAGTGATGGTTTCATGGGTGTATACGTGTCAAAACATCAGATGTTACACTTTACTAATGTGCAGTTTATTTATCTCCATAAAATTATTACTTAGAAAAGACTCACATAGTGGTTTTTGCACCAGACAAAGATGAAGAGGTGGCTTGCATCTTTTCATTAAGTTTCAAACTGCTCTTGAAAAGCTCTTTTCAAAAGTGTAGGTCAGCAGAGAGGAGGGCGAATGTGCTGGGTTATCTATCACCTCACTGTGCTTTGATCTGTTGGTTTCTTTAGAACTTCTCTAAAGACTTATTTCAAAAAAGCCCAGATTTAAGAAACAATGGGAAAAGCCTTTAAAATTTGCTGGATCATCTGATCTTTAACGCCCCCTTAGTTATAACATTTTATGAATCTAAAGTTCTATAAATGAATTACATATACTATCCCTTTGATTTGAAGATGCCCTCAAGTATAAAAGACATGCCATATCTCAAGCTTTTAACAGCTTTTTATGGAGGATAAAAGCAAAAGCAATAAAATTACACTTCTTATAAGATTCACTCCAACTTCAAAAATATTAGAAAGTACGATAGTCTTTGTAGCAAGTAGTCCCAAGGCTGTCGGAAAGGATGCATAGGGCCCGCCTTTGTAAGCTCAAGGTGCCCCTGTGTGGTCTCAGCACTGTGCCTAGTCTCCGGCACAGTCTCTCAATGAAGAAGCAGCACATTAAAACCCCAAACTTCATACTTAGTATAAGTTTCCTCTTTGCCTGGAATCTGTAGAAGCCCTGACGCTAGGGTTGTACCCAGAACCCATCTTATTTATCTTTTAAAAATGTGAATTGGTTTCATTTATGCAAATTGGGTCACAAATCATCATGGAAATGCAAATCAAAACCACAATAGGATATCACCTCACACCTATTAAATGGCTATTATCAAAAAGACAAGAGGGGCGCCTGGGTGGCTCAGATGGTTAGGCGTCTGCCTTTGGCTCAGGTCATGGTCCCGGGGTCCTGGGATCGAGTCCCGCATCAGGCTCCCTGCTCTGCAGGAAGCCTGCTTCTCCCTCTGCCTCTGCCTCTCTCTCTGTGTGTCTCTCATGAATAAATAAATAAAATCTTAAAAAAAAAAAAAGACAAGAGATCACAAATGGTGGCAAGGATGTGGAGAAAAGGGAACCCTCATGCACTGTTGGTGGGAATGTAAATTGGTGCAGCCACTATGGAAAACAGTACGGAGGTTCATCAAAAAATTAAAAATAGAACCACCATATGATGCAGCAATTTCATTTCTGGGTATACATCCAAAGAATTGAGATCAGAATCTAAAAGAAATATCTGCACTCCTGTAGCCATTGCAGCATTCTTTACAATAGCCAAGTCATGGAAGCAATCTAAATGTCCATCAACAGATGAATGGATACAGAAAATGTGTTGTACACATACGATGGAATATTAGTCAGCCTTAAAAAAAGAAGGAAGTTTTGCCAATTTTGAAAACATGGATGAACGGAGAGGAAGTAAAATAAGCTAAACACAGACAAACACTACATGATACCATTTATATAAGGAATCTAAAATAGTCAAACTCGTTGAACAGCGAGTAGAATGGTGACTTCTAGCATCTGGGGGTTGGTGGAGGGGGAAGCAGAAAAGTATTAATCAAATGGTAAAGTTTCAGTTAGCAGTGAGCTTATACCAATGGTACACTTTAAAACTTGATAAGATCTTAGGTTAAATCTTCTGTTAAACCTTGGGGTGCCTGGGTGGCTCAGCTGGTTAAGCAGCTGCCTTCGGCTCAGGTCATGATCCTGGAGTCCCAAGATCGAGTCCCGCATTGGGCTCCCTGCTCAGCGGGGAGCCTGCTTCTCCCTCTCCCTCCACTGCTCCCCCTGCTTGTGCTCTCTCTCTCTCTCTCTCTCTCTGTCAAATAAATAAAATCTTTAAAAAAAAAAGAAAAAAGAAAATCTTCTGTTAAACCTTTGCTAAGATCTTATGTTAAATGTTATCACATACAAAAAGTAATAATAATTAAAGAGGGTGGGAGGAAACTTTTGGAGGTGATAAATATGTCTGGTATATATTGTGGTGGTTTCATGAATGTATACTTATCTCTAAACTCATCAAGTGGTATACATTAAATAAGTACAGCTTTTATATGTCAAAAAAGAAATAAACCAAATTTACATTAAGTGAGAAAAATTGTCCGTATCTCCCTTCATTTGGATATCATACAAACTGAGAGACTCCATCTTAACTTTCCATTGAGACCATCAGAGACTATTTTAGACTTCCTTATGTAAGAGTATGCAAATGGAAACATTGACAGATTATAAAAATATACATGATGAAAAGAAGGAAATCCATCTAGGAATTAGAGACGTATTTTCCTATAAAATATAGTTGCTGCAATTAAATACATTCTAGAAAATTTCTGATTCACGTTTTTGCCAAATTCTCAAGAGAACCTGACTCAACAAATCATGTAGTCATGAAATGATAATGAAAACATTAATAAATAATAAAATGGAAATATCCAAAATTATCTGTTAGTTGTGGTGAGTGGTAAGTATGTCGGGGTCCCAAATTTTTGAACCCTGTCTTGACACCTCCTTTTCAATACCTTGGCAAAGGCCACCCCCTTAGAGTACATGTGCACAAGCGACTATTATGGGAAAATCATCCCCAAATCCTGATGTCGTCTATCCTCGTACGTTGGGCTAGGAAATATGACTTGTGCCTAGATGAGTCATCCTCCTGCCTGGTGGGACTTCACTCTGGTTCTTGCTTTATCTTTGAAGAGAAGGAAGCAAATTTTTCGAGTGGGAGGAGGACTCAGACTCCTCCTACGGTACCAGCTTGAAGACGAGCAAGGAGGGAAGCGATTCAATAGGAAACATCTAAAAAGACCAAGAGGCACCCGAGCATTTATCTTAACCCAGTTCTATTGAAGCGATCTCTATCCTGACTAGAACTAACCAGCATCTCAGATCTCAGAGAAAGAGCACGAGCTCCCTCTAGAGGACAGAGCACAATCCTGCCTTCCCCACTAGGTGCTCCCCATACGCTTACCTGGGATTTTACTTCCCTTCTCCAGAAAAGGCGTGGGAGACTCCCTTACTGCTATGAGCATACCTCTCTTACAATACTTATCACAGGGCATTATTTGTTACAGCCCATCTCTCCCCTGCAGGTGTGAGCCCCGAAGGAAACCAGAAGATGTCATCTCCAAAAATGTCACTTTGACATCAAGATTATTTTGCGTTAAGCCAACCTAAAAGACAGCAGATGCAAAAAGGACACTCTGACCTTCCTTTTTATTCCTGAAAGCAGGAGATGAAAGTCCTGTGTGAAAGATGCCTCCCCTATAACAGAAGGAAAGAAAAATTCTTATCACCAGAGATGGAAGACTAGGCTGAGAGAAATCTGTACAAACCAACCTTGTTAAACTAACCCTTCCATCTCAGTCACTTCTCCACCATTGACTGTCCCAACGCTTTGTCTTTTCATGTTTCCACAATTTACTACTTTTGCTCAATTTAGTGTATGGACGTTCATCTCTAACTGCTTCTCTGGGTCTTCATTTTCCTGTGGGGCCTCCCATCTGCATGTGAAAATCTGTTTGCTTTTCTCCTTTTAACCTGTTTTATGTTGATTCAATTCTCAGGCCCAGCTGAGGAGACCCTACGAGGGGAGAGGTCAAGTTTCACCTCCCCTACAGCCCTTGAGGGAAGCACCTGTCCTGAGGTCTTCTCCATCCTTTGTAACAGTGTCTGGAATACAGTCGGCCCTCAGCGATGGTACTTGGAGGAATGGAAGCATCTGTAAGAAACAAAAACTGTTTAACCACATTCCTATCTTGCAATGTTCAGTTATTTTTTCTACTTTCTCTTCTGTTCTTTTATCTCTGTCACATACTATAATTAGCATTTTATACGGCCCTTGCATATGCCATATTTCATGGAATTCTTACAGTTCTGTTGGGGGCATATATCTGTGCCTGCCTTTACTAGATGAGAAAACTGACATTCATACTGGTGAACTGAGTAGTCGAAGGTCCCAGAGCCAGGCAGTTCGCCTACGGCCTTTTCTCTGTAGCCCCAGGACGAGCATTCAGGAGGCAGCAAGACAGGGATACTCCGAAGTGGATGCCCCAGCAGGCAGTCCACAAACCACAAGAGGTCACTAGGGGATAAAAGACCACAGTTTCTCTGAGCAGAATCTATCTGGCTGAACACACTAATTTTTAGGGTGTTTGTTAGCAATGGCAGGAATCATAGGGACTGAGTGATCTGAGAGGATACCAGAGTTCTGGATTGATTGTAGACATTGATTTGCCCAAGATGTAAAGGAAAACAGTTCTTTTGCCAATCATTCCAACAGCTGTTGTTTTAGGAATTATCTTGTCATCATAGAAAGCGTGAATAGAAAGAAGTGGTTAAGCACCAGGGCGTGGGAGTCATATCTGCTGGGGTCATGTCTCAGCTCAGTATGACCTTGGGCAAGTTACATAAGCTCTCCACTTCCTCATCTGGAAAATGGTGAGGATGAGGAAAATACCTAGTAATTGAAGGAGGTATGTAACGTGCTTGGTTCGTGTTAAAGGCTAAATAAATGCTAGTGGTTCTTGTGTCCGTGGATGATAGTGGAGGGGACGTGAGTTCACTTCGGGGCCCTTTAAGTTTGAGGTGGTGGAACATTAAAATGGAGACGGACCAAGAGCAGAGTGAAGTGCGTGCAGTCACAAGTAGCTTACGGAGGGGATTAACCAGATATACTCTCTGGGTTATGCAATCTGGAAGTATGTTTTGGGGTCTTTTTTTTTTAAGATAGATTCTATTTTATAAACAGTAACACGTTTTTATAAGAACCTTCAGGAAGTGCTACTATAGACATGGATCAGACATGAAGAAAAAGTACATGAGTATAATTAAATGGTATCTATGAAATGCCAAAATATTTAAATGAGGAGATGAGGAAATAGGAGGTTATCTGGCTGACATTTGGCATCATGAGAAATTTCTAAAAATACTTTAATATTCATTTATTCATCCTCATCACATAGCTGCTGCCTTTTTAAAAAAGATTTTATTTATTTGAGAGACAGAGAGAGAGCACCGAGGGAGAGTGCGAGGGAGAAGCAGACTCCCCGCTGAGCAGGGAGCCCGCGCAACGTGGCGCTCGATCCCAGGACCCCGGGATCATGACCTGAGCCGAAGGCAGACGCCTAATGACTGAGCCACCCAGGGCCCCCTAAACTATGATTAATTCTAATAATTATTCCATCCAAGCAGACAAACTTATCATCTACAAATAATGAACAGTTTTGTTTCTTCATTTCTAAACTTTATACTTTTTATTCTTTCTTGTCTTAATTCACTGGCTAGGACAATACTGAACAGAAGTGGTGATACCAGGGACCTTTGTCTTACTTCTTATCCTAAATAAAATTTTTCCAGTATTTCACCAATAACGATGATGCTTGCTATTGGTTTTTCATAGATACTTTTATTAAAGGGCAGTTCCTTTTGTCCATAAGTCTTGAATCATGAGTTTTGTCTGACAACGTCCTCTAAGAGATGATTATTTTCCCCGTTTAATTTGATAATGTAGCCACTTACATTATTTGATCTTCTCATGATAAACTAAGTTTGCAGTCCTGAGATAAACCCATGTCATGGTACTTGTTCAAGTTATTGTATTCAACTGGCTAAGATTTTCTTCAGAACTTTCCCATCTATGTTCACTAAAGAGATTGGCTGTAATTGTTCTCTTTCATCCTATCTTGTCAGGTTTTGGCTGCAGGTTTATGGAAGTCTCATAAATAAGTTGGGTAGTGTCCCCTCTTTCTGTACTCCAGAATGGTACTGACTCAAATCAGAAGCATTTGTTCCATGGTTCATACAAACCAATAAAATTGTGTGACCTTAGAATTATCCTTGCGGTAAGATCAACTTCGGTTTCTATTTCTTTAATGATTATTTTATTTTCTTCTTGAGTCATTTTTGTTAGTTACATTATTCCAGTAATTGCTCATTTTAGCTAGGTTTTCAGATACGTAGGTAACAAGTTTCTTTCTTTCTTTTTTTTTTTTACGATTTTATTTATTTTACACACACAGAGAGAGAGAACACAAGCAGACAGAGCAGCAGGCAGAGGGAGAGGGAGAAGCAGGCTCTCACTAAGGAGAGAGCCGGGCTTGAGGCTGGATCATGACCCCAGCCGAAGGCAGATGCTTAACCAACTGAGCCACCCACGCACCCCAGTAACAAGTTTCTTGAGATCCTTCTTGCCTTTTTAATACCCTTCCTTTCATTCTTAACATTGATAAAGGAAAAAAGAAGACGAGTAAACAGTCTTGGCAAAGGGTTTGCCATTTTATTCATCTTCTCAAAGAATCAACTTCTACCTCTATTTTGTTTCATTTGTTTCTACTCTTATCTTTTCTTTGGGTTTATTTTGTCTTTCAACTTGAGTAGCTTAGCTCAATTTTCAGTCTCTTTGCTATTGTGATATAAACATTTAGAACAAAAAAAAATGTCTTTTACTTTAAACTTTTTTTTTTAATAAAGATTTATTTATTCATTTGAGAGAGTGAGAATGAGAGAGAGTACATGAGAGGGGGGAGGGTCAGAGGGAGAAGCAGACTCCCCGCCGAGCAGGGAGCCCGATGCGGGACTCGATGCGGGACTCGATCCCGGGACTCCAGGATCATGACCTGAGCCGAAGGCAGTTGCTTAACCAACTGAGCCACCCAGGCGCCCCTACTTTAAACTTTCTGACTCTACATTTCAACTGTGTCTCTTATAAACAGCATATCCTGATTTTTTTAAAAATCCAGCATAGGAAATTTATTAATTGGAGACCTTAATCTATTCACAATTATCACAATTGAGTTTTTGTATTTATTTCTACCACCTTATTTTGCACTATCTCTTCTTCCATTTTTGTTTCCCTCTTTCTCCTTTGTTCCCTTTTGGGGGGTGGAATACGTCTTCTCTCCTTTATTCTTGAAGCATACATTCAATCTGTTTTGGAAGTCAGAGAGGATGATGTAGATCTGTATCTTCACCTACATTTCTATCTGCCTGCCGACGCACGGTTTATATGGTTGCCCTTCCTCTGCTCGCGCACGGATGTGCGCGATTCGCTCACATAGATACCGCCTGCTCGGGGACGGTCCTACGGGCTTGACGCCAAGACTAAGTCGTCAGGCGGCTCCGCTTACTGCGGCCCCCGCAAGTGTTGGCGCGGCTGCCCCTGGCATCCAACTCTGCAGGCTCTGCTTCCGCCGGGGCCACCGCCTCCTCGTGCGCCCCCTGCAGGTCGTCCGGCCTGCTTCCCGCAGACATCGGGGACGCGCAGAGGGGCAGCGCGCTCCCTGCAGAAGGCCTGGGCTCTGCCGTTCGCTCCCCCTTCCCTGCTGCGGCGCGCCCCCCGCCCCCCCGGCACGGCGACAGCCCCTCCCCCCAGGCGCGACCTGCCGGGACAGAGACCCCCCCGCCACACCCACCTCGGCCCCACCTTCCCTACTGGGTCCCACAGGTCCTGCAGCCCGAGCCCGCACCTGCTGCCCGGCTCAGGCAGGGTCCCCTCCTCGCACCCGGCCCGCCCTCCGCTCCTACAGGCGCCCCGCGCGGCTGCCTTGCCCCAACGGAAGCTAGTGCTTCAGCGTTCCTTCTGGTGTGAAGCCAGACCATTTCCTAAAAACGAGTATCTCACACCAAAAAGCAGTATCACGCTTAACAATAAAACGCTGGTAGATTGCCATGAAAAATAATTTAGAAATAAAGAAGGCCACTATTAGCACAAAATTTTAGCCTTGGTCTGTAAGTTCTAACCAATGTATAAGAGGCTATTGAAAAGGACTATGGCAGTATTTTATTATTTGTACCAGATATCATTTCTCTTAGAGTAGGATATTTAAAATGGAAGAACGTCAACTGAAAAACTATTAGAACTAGTTATGAATGTCAAAAAGAAGGTAAGTTACTAAAGAGCTTTTCTATAATGAAAGAAATGGATTTTCTAAGAGCAATCGTTAAGTTAAAAATATAAAGGAAAAATATCTCACTTAACACAGCAACATAGCATAAACTTAACAAGAAATGCATAGAGCCAGTTATCACAAGAACTATGATAATTTTGTGAATACAAAATAAATAGAGGTGCCATTTCATCTTTGTTGATGCTAAGTTCTAACAACACATCAATTATTTCCTATAATTTCGATCAGAATGTCAAATTGAAAATTTCACAAAACCTTGCTAAAGTTCACTTGGAGAATTAGAAGATAAGAAGAACCAAGAAATCTTTGAAGAAGATTGTAGGGGAGGTCATCTAGATATTTACATGTATAATAAAGTAATTAAACAGCGCTGAGTACTACAAGGAAAAAGTAAAATGCATTCATAGAAAAATAGAAAGCATAATATGTGTGTGCTGTGCATGCATATACATATATGTTTTTTTTTTTTAAGATTTTATTTCTTTATTTGAGAGACAAAAAGCAAGCATGAGCAGGGGGAATGGCAGAGGGAGAGAAAAAGGGAGAAGCAGACTCTCCCCTGAGCAGGGAGCCCAACGCGCTCGATGTGGGGCTTGATGCGGGGCTCGATCCCAAGACCCAGGGATCATGACCCTAGCTGAAGGCAGACACTTAACTGACTGAGCCACCCAGGTGCCCCTACATATATGTGTTAATCAAGTATATTATGAACAGTACCTCAAAAGAATGCTGAATTTTTTTAGAAATAGTATCCAGATTAAGGTAACAGAACTTCATCATGGCAGTCCAACATTTTTAAACACCCTCTGACCTTTCTCACTTTGTAAACAAGTCCTGCTTTCCCAGAAAAATCCATAAATCGGGCATATGACTTAGGTCTACATTCCCCCTACCCTGCCCCAAGACACCCAATGTGGAAAAGGGCCACGTGAGGAGGCATGTTCCAGGAGAGACTGTTCTTCTGGGACGTGTGGTGTCAAGATCGTTTGCTCTTCTGGAGCAACCACGTCAGAGCTGCAGGTGTCTCAATGAGTCAGGTTTTTTTTTTTTAAGTTTTGGGGGTTTTTTTGTTAGAACCATCCCGCGGTGTGGTCAGATGTGCTGACCATGCCTGTCTTGTTCTTGGCTGTGTATTGTAGCCTACAAGTCTAGTTCTCTGGCCCTCACAGAGGTCTGTGAGATACCAAATATCCTTTAACAAATCCCTCTCTGCTTAAGTTGGAGTAGTGTCATGGGCTGAACGTTTGTGTCCTCGCAAAATCCATATTCCTAACCCCCAGCGTAATGGTATTAGGAGGTGGGGCCTTTGGGAAGGTGGAGCCTTCATGGATGAGATTAGTGCCCTTACAAGAAGAGACAGGGGAGAGCTTGCTTCCTTTCTCTCTGCTCTCTTCCAGGTGAGGGAGGATACAATGAGAAGACAGCCATCTGCAAACCAGGAGACATGTCCTCACCACACCCTGGATCTGCCAGCACCTTGATCTTGGACTTCCCAGTCTCCAGAACTGTGAGAAAATAAATGTTTGTTGTGTAAACCACCCAGTCTATCATATTTGGGTATAGCAGCCCAAGCAAAGACAAGTTGAGTCTGTTATTTGCATTTAAGAACATGCATGAAGAACGTTAAGAAGATGCATGGTTGGAACCCCTGGGTGGCTTAGTGGGGAAAGCTTCTGCCTTCAGCTCAGGTCATGACCCCGGGGTCCTGGGATCGAGTCCCACGTTGGGCTCCCTGCTCAGCAGGGAGCCCGCTTCTCCCTCTCCCTCTGTTCCTCCCCCTGCTTGTGCTCTCTCTCTCTCTGACAAATAAATAAATAAAATCCTTAAAAAAAAAAAAAGAACATGCATGGCTCATACACTTTACTATTTGGGGGAAAAATACATTTAAATTCCTGCTTCACTATTTAGGGAAAAATACATTTAAATTCCTGCTTCAAACTATTCACAAAAATAAAATACATCTGGATTAATGAATAAAATGTAAAAACACACACCCATACATACACATAAAACCAAACATACATTAAAACACCAAAAAACAAAGATAAACCTAAACAGAACTAGCCAAACTAATAACAGTGAACTAACTAACCACTATGGTTCAACACTTGATATGAGTAGATCAAAAATATGAATGAACTAGCAGGCAATGAGAGATGGAAATGTGGTCAGTTAAGTGGTTTCACAACATTAGAAGATAAAATTAACTGACTGTCCAGGAGAAGCACAACTCTTCTTAGTTCTCAGGTCAGGCAAGAATTTTTGTCTGTGCACTTCATACCGAGCACAGGCTGTGAGGGGATTATTGGACAATGGCCTGAGAGTGAGTAGCACGGACTGATTTCTGGTGATGGCCCCCAGGCAAGTCAGAGCATAACACACCAAAAGCACATTAGCGCTATTCACCCAAAACAGTTCCAGCAGGAAAGGTATGCAATTGCCTGGGTATGCAATGTGCCCATTCTCTATACCTCTGACATTATCAAACTGGATGGACTGCATATTCTTCCAGGGATCCTCTCCTGATGTTTCTTTCAGGCGATCTTTCCAATAATTAAGGGACTTAAGCCCAAGTTTATACTCCTTTGCTGTAGAATAAAGATCTCTCTCTCTCTCTCTCTACATAATCAAGATAGTCATGGGGCAGGGCCTCTCAGAGGCCATGGGAGATCCAAGCTACTTCCCTATTTTTCAGCTTCCAGTAAGTATATTAAAAATGAAGAAATGGCAAAACCAGAGTTAATTTGCATGCATATGTTTAGCATGTTAATGCTTTGGATACACACATATAACAATAATTTTGTGTATAACTCATTTGGTGATAACGTCAAAACTGAATTTGAGGCCTTTCTTGAATGTGAAGCTCAGATCTTCCTGGTCTTCTGGTGTTGGTCCTGGTTAAAGTTATATTCCCAAAACTTATAGTCTTTATGTTAATAGCCAAGTAGTTCTAGGTTTGGCTAGATGCCCTCCTTGGCCAAGATAAAAAACCATTGATATATACCTAATGAAAACAATGCTGTTCCTGACTTTATAAGCAAACATGTAAAAACCACACTAGTGTGGGCTTGATTTTTAAGACCCCCTTTAAAGGGGGTCTATGAACAAATAATTTAAAGTCAGAATCGTGCAGATCTTCCCTTGCCTTTCTTCCAGGCCATGATTAACTAACAGGGTCACAGTCTGTCCTTGTCATGTCTAGCTCAAGAAAATGAAATTACATCATCTGGGTACAAAGGAATACTTGTCCTTTGTTCACTCTTCTCTGGTGTTTTCTGGTTCTGTTCCACTCCCACATTCAGAGCAGTAGGGCACAGGGAAAACAGGCCCATGGGGGGATTGCTCCTCCTTGCAGCCTGGCACCCACCTCCATCCAAAACACATACCTGAAGTTCGATCTCAGAGCTGGAAAACCTCAACCCTCTCACTTCTGGTCAGCAGGTCTGCGTTTGGATTCTTCCCTGACCACCTCAGAGAAAGAGATGACCCTCCTCTGAACTCACAAGGGGGCTTGCCTCTCTTGTGGCCCTCACCACAACCTTGGAATATGCTTACAAGAGAAACCAAAATTGTGATGTAATGCCAAACACCCCTGAAGGAAGGTGGAGCGGGTTGGAGAAGTTTCAGGGTTTCTGAGTGGCTTGTCCCAGCAGAGCATAGGGCTCTGTCTGACAGCCCAGAACATTGATTTTTTGGAGATACAAAGGTCTGGAGGTGCATGGTGGGGTACTGCCTCAACCTACTGGTTGAGTAAAAACAAGTCAGACTTCTAAGGACAACCTGAGAGGGAGGAAATGAGCAGGGGACATGGCAGAGGAGAGAAGTAGAGCCTCCAGCAGTGAATGGAACAGCCCGCCTGGGTGTGGGGGTGTTTCAAAGGACTTTTATTTATCTTTATTTATTTTTAAAGATTTTATTTATTTATTTGACAGAGAGAGACACAGCAAGAAAGAGAACCCAAGCAGTGGAGTGGGAGAAGGAGAAGCAGGCTCCCCGCTGAGCAAGGAGCCTGACGTGGGGCTCGATCCCAGGACTCTGGGATCATGACCTGAGCTGAAGGCAGACGCTCAATGACTGAACCACCCAGGCACCCCTCAAAGGACTTTTAGGAACAGGGATGACTAATGTTCAATTTTAAATTGTATGTCTTCTTTGGAAAAATGTCTATTCATGTCTTATGCCCATTTTTTAACTGGGTTATTGGTTTTTTGGGTATTGAGTTTTATAAGTTCTTTATAGATTTTGGATACCAGCCCTTTATCAGAAATGTCATTTGCAAATAGCTTCTCCCATTCCACAGGCTGCCTTTGAATTTTGTTGATTGTTTCCTTCACTGTGCAGAAGCTCCTTATTTTGATGAAGTCCCAATAGTTTATTTTTGCTTTTGGCTCCCTTGCCTCAGGAGAGGTGTCCAGTAAGAAGTTGCTATGGCCGATGTCAAAAGGGTTACCGTCTGTGTTCTCCTCTAGGATTTTAATGGTTTTCTGTCTCATATTTAAGTCTTTAATGCATGGCCATCTCTTTATTCAACTCTCCTCCTTCATGCCCCTTTATGCTTTCCACAAATCATATTGCCATTTTCTTCCATCTCCTCAGGCCTGTTTCTACCTCTCTCTTCATCTCTTTCAAGGGATAAGTCACACTTTCAAACTTTGGATACCATACGGGGTGAAAAAAATCTTTCCTCATCTAAAGCTCCCCACTACTTTCTGGGGGGGAGTGTTACTCTTCTTGGGTGTGGGTACGCCACTTTTGAGATGAACTCAGGATCCAGCTTAATTTTTCTGCCTATTAAATGAGGAAAGCTTTTGACGTTGGGTATTGTGGGAGCAAAAGTTTTAGAGTGACTCTTCTTTGGTGACTGAGAAGGAAAAGGGAATTTGGAGAATGTAGGAGAAAGGGATGATAGCAACTGTTATTTATCCAGTAATTAATTTTTGCCAGGCATTATGCATAACCCTTTTTGTTCACCATCATTCAATCCAATCCTCCAACAATGTTGTAGTTTACGTTTTATTATTTTCCTTTCACTGCTGAGGAAACTGAGGCTCAAAGAGCTTAGAGGACTTGGCCAAAGTAACACAGTGAGGAAGTCCTGAGCCAGAATTTAAGAGGAAGTTCTATTTAACTTCAGAGTCCAGATTCTTAATGATGAAAAAATATTGACTTGCCACAAAATTTTATGTCTGGATGTTCAGAAAGGCACAAGGTTGAGTTTGTAGGTAACTGGATTAATTACCTGGGAGGCTGAGTGACCCTGTTCTTCATTTTGTCGGGGAGTAGATGGCTGAGGTGGTCACAAAGCAATGGACTGGTCCACTCTTTGCAGATGCTGGCTGGTTGCCTGCCCCTCAGAGTCTGAGCCTTTTGTCCAGCTTTCCAAGATCTGGTCAGCCTGGCACTCTTCATTCCTATGGGATGAAGCAACCCAAGGGGTAGGGGAATAGGAGACAGGTAGTTAGAACTACCCAGGTTCTTTCATACACACCAGTATTTTGAAGATTTTTCTTTTCTTTTGAAGATTTATTAATTTATTTGAGAGAGAGAGAGAGAATGAGAGCAGGAGCTCGAGCAGGAGGGAGGGGCAGAGGGAGAGAGAGTCCTTCAAGCAGACTCCCTGCTGAGCACGGAGCCTAATGCCCTGATGCCCAGCTTGATCCCAGGACCCTGAGACCATGACTTGAGCTGAAATCAAGAGTCAGATGCATAACCAACTGGGCCACCCAGGTGCCCCAGTATTTTGAAGATGTCTAGTCAAAAAATAATCTATTTTAACAATAATTCCCAAAAGAAAACATTTTTATGGTCTGAGTTTCTTATATTATTGTTTAAAACCATTTACTTTGTTTTAGGACAACCATGTATGTTAAAAAAAACATGGAATTTCAGAGGAGAAGACTATAGAACATGGCCTTCGCTAGAAGGGATCCCTCCTTCACTGCAGAGATGATGAGTTCAAGGCCCTAGGATGGCTTTAAAATCACAGATTGATATTGAAGTCCTTGCCCTGTTACTTACTAATGGTGTGACCTTGAGCCAGAGATAGGACCAACTCCTTCCCCTCCAAAACAATGCCTAGCCAGCTGAATGATGTATTCTATGTATTCCAAAGCACTCACTTAGATGCTATCGCTCACTCAGTGGGACCACATGGAAAAGTTATACAGGGGTGGGATTCCTAGGCCCACTTTGCACATCACGTATGGGAGGCTGAGAGAACGTGGTTTCCTTTAGTCCCCTAGCTAGCCAGGGGCAGAACTAGACCACCACCTAGATCTTGTGCCTCCCTCTCTGTACCTCTTTCCACTGGTGCACAATGCCTACCCACCTAAAGGCCAAACAGTTCCACCAAAGAGATAAGGAATAGTGAAAAAAATACAGGCTGGGGGTCATAAATGACATAAGTAACTGACAATCCTGATTAGATAGTGAGGGAAAAACTGGACTTTGATATGATTAAGCAAAAGGCAAAGAGAAAACACTGACAAGGCAGTAAACAACTCGCTAGGAGGGAATATGGGACAATGGGGGCTGGTGGTCACTGCTGACCCCAGTGTAACTCTTTCCTGTCAGATAACTACTGGTCACTCATCCTGAAAGTCTGCAGCCCCGTCCTTTCTGCCTCTGCCTCTGCAGCGTCCTAACTGCACATACATGTTTCCTCAGACAAGGCAAACCTTGTTCTTTATCACATTCAGGCTTTAGTTGTCTCTAGTCTCAAGGGGGTGGTATTTCTAAGCCCTAGAATTTAGATCATCTTAAGTTCTCACTGTCCCTCTGTGCATAGGTCTTACAGTCTCACGAACTCGATCAGATGCTATGGAGCACGATTTAGCCATGGAGCAGTCTGGAATATCTAGACTTTTCTTTCATGTTACTTCATGGAGTCTTCATTGGACACCACCACCACCACCACCACAACTTGGTACTTTTTTAATATGCATTCTGTTATTTGGTTTGATTTGATTTGATTCTCCCCTCAACTTTCTCTTCCCACTTCTTAGATTAGAAGCCTCTTGACAACAGGCCAGTCTTATTCATCGTGTATTCTCTACAAAACTATACTCTCTGCGAAATGCCTCTGGAGCTAACCAAATGCCTTATACATAGAACCTCAATAAAAATTTTGTGAACCATGCTGAAATAACACTAGCTCCATCCCTATGACCAAAATAATGACTGCTGGTTTCAGGGTGCTGGAACTAGCCCGACCCCCACAGCAGATTTCAAGACAATAAGGAAACATCTGCACCACAGATTAGAAAAGAGATTTTAAAATGCCATATTGACCCAACCATGGATCTTCCTTGCATCGTGTAGATGTGGCCCCTTTTTACGAAAGGTCTTCCCCTATAATATTACTAAGCCTCTACTGATTGTAACTCTATGATCCAGGAGATTTACTGGCATGTACAAGTTTGTTTGTGAACTCAGACGTCATAGTGCTCACGAATACATTGAATCGTGGCCCGTCATATTCAAATCAGAACTGTCTAGAGTGGGGTGGGGAGTGGAAAATAAACATGGCAGTTGTTGGAGGTATTGACCCTAATGCTCACAAATGACATCATCTTATTTTTGCCTGTTAGGAGAGTCTGCAGTTGGAGACCTCTAAACCAGAACTATGCATTCAGATTGGGCCATTTAATAAAAATGTACTCTGTGCTACACCCCTCACCATATGTCGTTTCATTCCTGCTTCATAATCAGTTTTGGATGGAGGCATGACCAGCCCATTTGACCAATGGCAACACTGAGGGTCAGAGAGGTTGGAGGATTCCCCAGTGTTTCACAGCCCCCGGGTCCCATGCTCTTTCCACATATCATATCATATCTCAGTTTTGAACATATTGCTAAGTTAAGAGACTTTAAAAAAAACCACCCAACCCTGCAAGCAGTCTATGTTGCTCTGGGGTTGCTGTTTCTCTAAGCTCCAGGAAGCCTTGCCCTTGCTTTCCTGCACTTTGAGTTTCATCAGCACATCCAAGCCCGGAGGTGGCCAAATGCTGATGCTACGGGAGCCACGGCACGTGGCACCAGAGGCGAATGTGCTCACGCTCCTCTGACACACTGGCCAGGCTGCTGTCCACGTGAAATGATACCCCAGCAAGAGCAGGGCCACCCAGGTCTGCCGACGCAAGGCATTCTTCCCTGATGAATGCAGGTTTAATGTCCAAGGTTATAAACTGCTGGGAGGGGGAGAGGGAGAGGGCTAATCTTACCTTTTGGTGGAAGCCAAAAGGTAAGCAGCCCTGCTTTAGACCATTGGCTTGGAGGAAACAGGAGTCCCCGTGTACCCGTCCTGTGACTCCAGGCAAGTTACTTGCCCCCCACCCCCGAACGAGAGTTTCCCCATCCAGAAAACAGGAGTAATAAACCTCTCCTCAGAGGGGTGCTGAGATGGCAGATCACGTGTAAAAAGAACCAGAGGCATCCTAACACCTCAAAAAAAATAGCTACTATTATTGTTATTGCTGTCATTGTTATAACAAGAATAATTCGTGCTGCTAGCATAAGTAAAACTGTTTCTACCATGCATCTCTTGGCAGGTGGCATGTTTTAGTCACGATTCTGACACTCCAACCTTGACTCCCGACAGCTGTTGCTAGCCCTGCTCTCCATTGTATCATCACTATCCTCCATATTCTTCCTCCATTCTCCTTTGACAAAAATCAAATCTGATGAAACTCACATATCCCCCAGATCAGGCCATCTTGGTCTGATCAGGGGTTTGCATGAGCATCAGGTGGAGATGGGGAAACCAGAAAGTGTGCCTTCAGGGGGCACATGGAGTCAAGCATGCTGATGACCTTTACCTGGCCTGGCCCTTTGCTCTCCTTAGGACAGGTCTTGGCCAAAACTTCCGTTGCCAAATGGGCCTCAGTTTTGTGTTTCAAACATTTCAATTTCCTTTAATAATCATGTTCTATGTCTAATGCTCCCCCACTTTTAGAAGCTGTCTGAGCCTAAACTCTATTAAGACAACTTAGTTTTCTGCTTCTTTTTCCTTCATTCCATTGACAGTTCACTTATTAGAGCATCACACCCTATGCCATCAAGCACTTTGATTTTTAGGGTGTTTTTTTCCCTTCCATTTTATGAGTTATCCCAAAGGAATATAGTCCTGAGAATTTTATGCTTTCCTATGATCATGGTCATTCATTACTTTTAGATTTCCCCAGAACCTTTATTTGCCTCAGGAAGAAAATTTTATTTGCCTTCTCTTGACCTAGATTTTGGTTTAGTGCTCAGGGGAAAAAAAAAAAAATCCCTGTAAAACTAACCCTTACCCAGACAGTGCCATAACTAGGGAAGCTGGTAGCTTACAGCAATCACTTTGAGTTTTAGTTTAGTTTTTTTTTGTTTTTTTTTTGTTTTTTTTTACCACGTTAAAGACAAATGCATAAAGGGTGAGAAAGAGTGAGAATGGGGTGGATACAGTGTGTTCTGGTATTATCAACCTCAGGGGGCCTAGCTTGGTTTTGGAGGACAAGGAGGGATCTCATGCCTACTGTGTGCAGGCACTCTACAAACTCATTTAATGCTCTTGTGAAGTTGAGATCCCACTTTACAGAGGAGGATATTAAGGCCTGGAGACATAGGAAGGAAGGAAGGAAGGAAGGAAGGAAGGAAGGAAGGAAGGAAGGAAGGAAGGAAGGAAGGAAGGGAGGGAGGGAGGGAGGGAGGGAGGGAGGGAGGGAGGGAGGGAGGGAGGGAGGGAGGGAGGGAGGGAGGGAGGGAGGGAGGAAGGGAAGGAAGCAAGGAAGGGAGGGAGGGAGGAAAGAAAGAAAGAAAGGAAGGAAGGAAGGAAGGAAGAAAGAAAGAAAGGAAGGAAGAAAGAAAGAAGGAAAGAAAGAAAGAAAGAAAGAAAGAAAGAAAGAAAGAAAGAAAGAAAGAAAGAAAGAAAGAAAGAAGGAAAGAAGGAAAGAAAAGGAAAAGAAACCTTGGCCAAGGTCGTGTGTTTAGTAAGTGCTAGAGCTAAGGTGACATTCTTCACAGGTTCTGTTGGTGGCTCTAGAGCTCTGTCATTTACTAGTTGTGTAACTTAGGGGAATCCCCTAGTCCTCTGTTTTTCAGTTTCCTCACCTGAAAAATGAACCGACTGGATGAAGAACTACAGGGTCTCCAGATAGCCCCTGTAGCTTTAACATTCCCTGAGTCCAATGAGTGTGTGAGCATGATCAGGACTGGCTGTTTATGAGCCAATCAGGCACTGGATAAACAGTGGGAAGGGGAGGGTGAAAGTTAAAACAACAACAACAACAACAACAAACTTTGACAGGAGGTCTATAAAAACTGCGTGTTCCCAAAGGTTCGTCCTATTTGGCAGCTGCTGACTCCTCCACAGCTTCTGATCGCTAAGAGGACTTTCTTCTCCCAAACTGTAAGTAACAGAACTTCCTTTGTCTACCTGGACTGCACCAGGGAGTGAGGGTTACTGATGGTGCTACACATGTAGCCGAGAAAGTCCGTTTGCTTTTATTTTCAGGAGAAACTTGGTGGTGGCCAAAAACGTGCTGGTGTGCTGAAATGGTTGTTTTTCTCCCTAAGCGTAAATGCTCATCCACAGCTTTGCTGACTCTCTGAGTGGAGGCAAATGTTCAAGACCATTCCCAGTGTTACCCATATGAAGGCGCTTCTGTCTCTGGCCTGGGAGAAACAACTTGAATACACTTATTTGGCTAGGTTCTAATCACTTCTCGAGATTCCTGCTCATTTCTACTCTCCCCATAACAACTGCTTATTTCCATGATTTCTTTACAGACCTGTCGTCCTACGTCATTTTCTTTATTCTCTTCCTATACCCACTAGTGTTGGCACTGAAGTTTTTTGGTCACACAAATGAACTCCTTGCCTTCCCCCACGGCTCAAATGAGAACACGGAACAGGCTTGGAATCGCCACAGAGCACCACCGTCATTTGATTATGAATTATCAAACTTCTACTCATTTGATCGTTCCTATAACATTTCCTACTTTAAAGATCCTACAGCTTAAGTTATTTGGAATCAAAAGCGGCTGATGTCCTTTGGGACGTTTGCTCTACTATCTGAAAAATAGACATGTTGTGAGGATAGGTTGCCTTCTAAAATAAACTTCTCCTAAATAGTTACCTAGGGCTCCATTTGCCAGTTTGGATCCAGCGGGGGCTTAGCTCTGCTGCCGTTAAGCCAAGGCACATCTGGGCACCCCCCAGGCTGACGCTAGAGCCCGAGGTGCTGAATGCAGTGTAGATGCTGTAATCCTAGAAGAAAGAGCAACGCTCAGCTCTCTTTCCGAGCTACCTCACCTGTGTTCAAAGGCACCAGGCTGTCATAAGGCATCTCACTGCTTTTGTCGCTGTGACATGGGGGTGGGTAATGAAGCTGTGGGCATCTTCACACATCTGTATATAAAATTCTTGCTCACAGTGCCTGGAGATCATAGACTTTCAACAAATAAGCCCCTCATGTCCTCTTGAAAACCCATCTGCCTTGTACACTGGAGAAGTGAATGGACTCTCTACTCCCTGACATTTCTCCAGGAGTTAAATATTCATATTTTACAAATCATTCTCTTTTCACAGAACCTCTTGAAGGAAGGCAGAAAGAACCATACTGTAGGTTTTATGTGCTATTTTGCTGAAAAGGATTGGAAAAGGGATTCCAAATCATAAGCCAGTAGGATGTGGTTTATAATCCTAGAGCATCACAGTTTAGAAGGGGCATCAGACATATTCTTTCTGAGCCTCAGTTTCCCCATCTTTAAAGTTGGCAGGGTTGATATAGATATCCCTGAGGTCATTTGCAGCTGTTTTCCTGTGATTGCCCTCTATTCTTATATTTTCATATTCCTCTTCCCAGATTTGTATATGTATCACCTGTTAATATATTATGTATAATACATAATGTCATATATAGACCTATTTGAGAAATCAAACATTACAAAAAATTTATAAAGTAAAATGTGAGAGTTAGTCCATCCCATCCCAATCCCCACAGATAACACCAGGGTGGTTATTCTCTGCTTATATAGATCTACAAACCGTATGTACCGTATGTGTTATACCATTTTTTTAATTAAACAGGAATGATATTTTATATCACATACTTCTCTGAAACTTGCTTTGTTTTTCTTTTTACTTAATAATATAATGTGAACCACTTCCCATCACACTTTAAAATCAAATTGGCTTGAGACCTCAATGAGCAGAGGCTTAGGAGACCAAGATCACTCTCTATGGTTACCCACTCCCACCTGGCCTCCTATCTCCCAGGGATAAACATTGGTCTGTGACCCTGTTTTATGATTAACAGAGGGGCAACATTTGTGCTGAGGTGATATAGATCTTTAATCCCTCTGTAGAAGTTTAACTTCCATAAACAGTATTGGTTCAATTTGACCTTTTCTGTTTTTTTTTCTGGTCGAGTCAGCACATTCAGACTGAAAAAATAGCTTGGTAGTAAATAGAAACATGGAATCACAGGCAATTATTTTTTTTTTAATTTTTTTAAAAATTTAAAAAGAGAGAAATAGTAATACCCAACATTTTCATAATATATTATAAAACAACTTCATATTTATCATACAATTAACCCAACAAATATATTTTGAGCAACTATGATGAGTAGGGTGCTCACAGGTCACAGGAGATCCACTTGGCAATGAGACACCCAGCGCAGACATTAGCACCATTTATTCCACAGTAAACTAAGACTCAGAGCCCGTGGTCCCAGTGAGGAGGAAGCAGAACTGGTCCTTGAACCCAGGTCTGTCTGATCTAGTAGCTAGAACCTGTGTGAATGTGTGAGATGTTTATGAATTGACGAGGTCCATGGTGTATGGATGATGAGCCACAGCCCACGGATTTTGAGTACTCTGGGGGTGTCCTCAACAAGAACTCTGGGGGTGTTATCAAGAGTCACCTTAGAGTCACCCAAAGGCTGATTCCTTTCACCAGGCTCACTCTTTCCTGGAAGGAGGGGAGTACTGCCCCTTATCCCAACTTTGCGCCTTATTAGTTAAATGTCCTTGGATAAATAATTAAACTCCCTTATGTTCTTTCCTTATCTATTATGTGGCAGTGGTGGGGGAAGCCCAGCTGCCTTTGGAGGTTATAATAAGGAATGAATTATACAGTGCTTGTAAAGCAATTAGCGGAGTGCTTGGCATTAATGGTGATTGGCTATTATTGGGCTATGTTTTCCTTTTGCTTCATTAAGGAAACATCTTTATTTCTTAATTGTGAATTCCTTTATGCAGTTACCTAAACTGAGAGAGAGAATTTGTACTTTGGCCTGAAATTTGCCAACTTCAGGTTGGCTTTTTCCACATAAAGATCTAGTGACCAGATTTACAGCTAGTAATCCCTGACTACAATATTAGGAACTCATGTGTAAACAAGGGGAAACATGATCGTTAGGTGGCTGGGATAGGAGCAGCCTTGGAAGAATATCTTCTCTAGAGATCATTGCCCACTAGCCTGTCCTGTCCCCAGTGACAGCACCGTGGTTCCACCCTTTGGGGTTAAGACGAGGACTCTTGAAGTGAGAGTAGCATCAGTGATACCAATGATACTTTTTCAAGAATCAGTTCAGTAGCCACCTACTTCTTATATCAAGCCTGCCTTGAAGGGATGCACAAAATGTGAAGAAATTGATTTACCAGGAGGGGCAGGACCGGGTGGGGAGCTCTGCCTCCCCCTAGCTGAGACCTTGGACAAATCAGTTAACTTCTCTGAGTCTTAGCTTGCTCATTAATTAACAAAGATACTAGTTGCCCTGGTTACCTGGTTGCTGAGTGGATCAAATGAATACTGAGGTGTCCCTGGGCTTGCAGGAAGTAGAAAGCAGGCATGGGGCATCTACCCTATGGATGAGTGTATGAGAGGAAGGAGACCGGGGAAAGGAGAAGGTCATAAGATTGGATAGGAAACCACTAAAGATGATCTTTACTACCATTTTTTTTTTCTTTGATAGTCCAACACATGCAAAATTACTCTTTCTAACATCCAAGATGAGAGCCCTGTGAACTTGCATTTTCAAGACTGGCCCAAAGTGGCAGCCCAACAAAAGCAATGATCCCCTTCAGAGGACCACTGCTGAGAAGGGCGCTTGGATAGGGGATCTTCAAACCAGAGTCCTTCCTTGCTAGAGCAGTGAAACTGAGAATTACTGGGGCAAGGATCACCAGATGACTTTGGCATCCTTAGAGTCCATGGGAGCCTCCAGCCCAGAGGCACTTAGGGAAAATCTTCCCCATCTATCCCAAATGCTGTCATAGGTCATTGAATATAAGAAAAAAGAGCCTTACACACCATACTCTCTATGTCCCAAAGCTAAGGGAGGTTAATTGCAAGGCCAAAGCCTCTCAAGCTTGCTATCCAGAGAATAACACAGGCTAACAGAACAAAATGGGAGATGGCCATAGAGGCTAAAAGCCTCACTGTCCTGGCCTCAAGTCATCCAGAGCACACAAAGCTACCAGCAATCCACAGAGAGATAGTCAAGTACCACAGTGCCATCTATTTATCAGATTTGAGTGGGTCACTAATGAGCTGGTTCAGTCTCCGGATCAGTGAACCCAACGGCCTCCTGGAAGATATTCTATTTAGGATGACCAGGAAATTTGGCATCCCACTTACATCCACTATGGCTAATTGCAACTACTTAAGCTAAAGGGGGAAAAACCCAGACCTCATTTGTTCATCCAGTTATGGAAGTGGGCCAAAAGTGTAAGAGGAGCCCAGAGGGTTTGTTTGTACACCTTCCCTGCCTTGGTCACGAATCTGTCTGAGCCACCTGCAGTTCTGTTCAGGACACTCCTGCACTCTTTTCCAGACCTGTCACCATGGCCCACCGATTTCCAGCCCTCACCTCAGAACAGAAGAAGGAGCTCTCCGAAATTGCACAGCGCATTGTTGCCAGTGGGAAGGGGATCCTGGCTGCAGATGAGTCTGTAGGTGAGTGCAAGTAACGTCATACAACAAGTGTGTTCTTATTTCTACAACTTAGCCAAGGCAAGCAACAATTATATTCTTTTTCCTCTCAGAGGAGTAAAGGTACACAGGAGTGGGAGCAGAAGACCCAGCAAGCATAGACAGACATTTTGAGTCCTGTAGTTCCAGTAGTCAGATTTCTGAAAACCAAGGGAAGAGGTTCAAGCCCCCCATTTCAAGGCCCCTTGCCAGGGATCATTGAATCTAGACTGTAGCAAGGCCAAGAACTCAGGAACCAGAATGAGATCAGATACATAGACCTCTGCTGCTAATGAGAAGTCAGTGTAAGGTCAGCTAAGGAAGGGCAGGGAGGGCAGGGAAGTGTCCTCATCTGGAACAGGGAAGGGCTTGTGGCTGACAGAAGCCCAGAATGACACAAGGGAGGGTTGTGGCAGGCCTGTCTGGCCCACCATAAAATGATAGAAACCAGGGAAGTCAAGAGCCCGCCCCACCCCTCCTTTTATTGTACATACATCTAGTTAGATTGAGGCCTGGACCTGGGTCGGGGTGGTGATGGCTGGAGAGGCCTGAGGGCCTAATATACACACTTGGACCCACTGGTGGCTTCCATCGTGACCCTGACATATCCAGTCCATACGCTTCCTATCCAACATCCTGGCAGCAGTCAAGGTCTTTCCCCTGGGAGCCAAAAAAGGAGACAGGAGTTTTAAAGATCTGAATAAAAGAGTCTTGCCCTCCATCCTGCTGAGGGTCACTAGAGGGGAGGAGGCGGCGGTACAGACCTGGTTGGCTCCTCAAGCTGCCTTTGTCTCGCCCACCCTAGGCACCATGGGAAACCGCCTGCAGAGGATCAAGGTGGAGAACACCGAGGAGAACCGCCGGCAGTTCCGAGAAATCCTCTTCACTGTGGACAACTCCATCAACCAGAGCATCGGGGGCGTGATCCTGTTCCATGAGACCCTCTACCAGAAGGACAGCCAGGGAAAGCTGTTCAGAAACATCCTCAAGGAAAAGGGGATTGTGGTGGGAATTAAGGTGAACACTTCCATTCCCATTTCCCTTCTGCCTCATTCCAGCCAAATGCCCAGCCCAGTCTCCGGGCTGACGCTCTGAACACCCTCTTCATCTAGTTGCCGTTCCCTCTGCCCTTCCCATCATCAGCCTCCCCCCTGAGAAACAGGTCCTCTTCTAGATTTTTCGGCCGGTGTCTTCTTCTTTCAACCAAGTTTTATGCAGGGTACTCAATCTCCTGGTGTCCCAATTTTCTCATTTCTGAAATGGGAATAGTAGTGCCTGCCTCATAAAGCTCTTATAAGGATGAAAGGAGTTTGTAAAACAGTTCCTGTCACGTAATTATTATTTAGTTCATGGTCACTATTAATGATTAAACCACTTACTATTCGGGTACAATTCAGTCTTCCAAAACTGCAAGAACTTCTCACAAGTGAAAACTTGTATCTGTTGAGTGCTTACAACTCCAAGCGCTCATTTAATCCTTCTCGTAACCCCTGGAGGTCAATTCAGTTCTTATCCTCATTTTAGAGATGAGGGGAGAAAATGGACTTACAAGGCATAGCATAACTTGCCCACAGCAAGACAAAACCAGAGCCAGTTCAAACCCAGCCTGTCTACCTCTCAGGCTCATGATCTCAGCCTCTGCTATGCCGAGAGTAGGGGCTGCATCTTTATTCTTTCGATTTCCTGGAATAATGTCGTGCTCGGTATGTGTAGATGCTCCCTAAATGTCCCTTGAACAAATAAGTTAAGAGAAACTGCTCTTATATGGCCCCTCTGCATCCCAGGTACTGTCAGATTACTTCTTACTTCCCAAGCTCCAGGCCTGTGCTTTCCATATTTTCCATCCTCCTAGTGTTGACACTTGCATTTTTTTCTTCCAGGTACTTCCCTTCCACTATGGATTTAATTGTCTCCCCCCCCCACACCCCCATGACTAATACACCTTCCTAATTCAACTCCTTAGCTTGTGAAAGATGAGAACTATTAGTATCAGGGGCTCTGCTTTTGTTTTCCTGGGACCCCTGACACCTGCTAATTACTTGTTAATTATTTATATTCACAGTTAGACCAGGGAGGTGCTCCCCTTGCAGGAACAAACAAAGAAACCACCATTCAAGGTAAGGATATCACCTGCTGATATGAATCATGCTAATATATGCTAGAAAGGAAGGCAAGCAAAGAGGTGAGCAAGGGAAAACAAAATATGAATCTCACCCTGGTTTTAGAGCCACACACATCTGCTTTTCAACCCTAGCTCCTCTATTCGATAACTATGTGACCTTAGGCTGGTCATATACATGTCCTGAGTCAGTTAAAATAGGATGACAATATCTACTTTGCAGAGTAGTCATGGGGATTAATTAGACAATGTACATAAAAAGTGCTTACCACGGTGCTTTGCACAGAGAAGATATTCTTACCTGAGAATGTAATTTTTAGAGAAAAATCCAGCAGCAGAAGAGAGGAAGGGTCCCAAGCTTTGGGATCAGACCCACCAGGGTTTGACTCCTAGTTTTATCATTTACTAATTAGACAATTTTGCAAGGTGCTTCACTGCCCAAGTGGACAAGTACAAGCCATAGCATTAGGTTAGTTAAGCAGAATTTGAATGCCAACTCTGTCACTCATTAGCTCTGCAAACTTGGTAAAGTCACATAACCTCTTGGACCCTCAGGTTTCGCATCTGTAAAACAAGTATAATATTAACTATTAGAATTGTTATCATAATTAAATGAGAGTACGTATGCAAAATGCCTAGAATCATGCCTGGAACATAGTAAATACTAAACAAATATTAGTTCCCTCTGTTCTTCTTATTAAGTATAAAGCCCCAGTTTGGGCTAAGTATTGGGATTAATGTTTTCAGGCCTTAAGCTCTGCTGACCGAAAGAAAGGTAAGGCAAGGAAGAACTCCTTCACTTTATCAGTGGCCCCATGGATCAGGGGCATGGGTGCAAAGAAGCCTTTCTCTCTTTTGTGACTTGCAGGTCTTGATGGCCTTTCTGAGCGCTGTGCTCAGTACAAGAAAGACGGTGCTGACTTTGGGAAATGGCGTGCTGTGCTGAGGATTGACAACCAGTGTCCATCCAACCTTGCCATCCAGGAAAATGCCAACACCCTGGCCCGCTACGCCAGCATCTGCCAGCAGGTGCTCTGCCTTCCCCTTGGGCTAAAAAGCAGTCAGAAAGAGCTTTCTTCAGAACCTCTCTTTCCAATTTTACTACAAGTACATGAACCTTATCTCACCACTATATCCTGGTGGCATTTTCCACCACTTCTGCTATAGCCAAGTGTGGTAGGGAAAGATTTGGTCCCACAAGTCGGCTATGAGCCCAAAAGGCCAATGCCATCAATGGCTGCCCTCTGCCAAAGTTCTATAGGCTGAGTCTTAAGCGTGATCCAGCCCCTATGGCCAGGGCACTTGCTTACCTATGCTCCATCACATCTAAAACATGATCCTCTTAGATCCCTAGCTCGAGAGTGATAGCTCTGATTTAGCCCCAGTCCAAATAATATCTTGGAGGATGGTGACCTGACACTACTTTCCAACATAGTGTCTCTGGGATCGATCCCAGTTAAGTCTGATTTGCTTGTGTGGGTGCTATGTTGAGGTTACCTGAGTTGTGGGCACCTAAAGAGTCCCAATTAGAGCTACACACAGTGTTTAATTCCTTAATTAACCCACACAAGGGGCATCTTTATTAGTGATTGAAGTTTGACTGCCCTAAAGGGGTGACAGCTAGGTTCTGAGGTAGCTAGAATAGTCTCTAGAAGAATCTCTAGCTATAGAAATTAAGGATTTGCATTATTTTACCCATTCCTAGGAGAACTTTCTTTTTTTTTTTAACCTCATTGTTCTTTTTTGGCTAAGCCACAAATGCTCACTAGAAATCCCATTAAATTTCCTGATACTGCCTTTAAGTCAGTGAATGGCACTTCTCTATAAGGGCTTCATTTTATCCCAATTGCAACTGTCAAATATCTTCTTAAGGAAAGGATCACAGTGAGCAGAGCTGCACTTTGTCTCCCCCTTTTTCCTTTTTAGAATGGGCTGGTACCCATTGTTGAACCAGAGGTCATTCCTGATGGAGACCATGACTTGGAACACTGCCAGTATGTTACTGAGAAGGTAAGTCTTGAATATAAAGGTCCCAATTCCAGTTGAAATATCTTATTTTTAAGTAAGACCTGTTACTTAATATAGATCAGCTGTTATATATGAAATATTCTTCAGTTGGAATCATTATGTAGCATTGAGAAGATAAGGGGGTACTTATCAAACCTTCTACTCTTTTGGTACAATGGTATTCTCCACATGGAAAAAGGATAGGATTTGCAGTACCAAGACTTGGATATGACAATCCATGTTCCCAGTTGTGGGCCCATGAGCAAATCCTATTATCTTTTGGGATCAGTTACATTATATGTAAACAAAGAAATTTAAAAATAAGATGAGACTCACATGACAAAATGTAATTAGAAGGTACTTTGTTCATATCTGCAATGCAACCTGATTTCACGTTCTCCACTTGCAAAAGTTGGTGGACTGAGATGAGGTCTGAAAGTGCTTCTGTCTCTAAAATGTATGTTTCTGTGACTCCTCAGCTTCTATGGGGATGGAGAATGGAGGCCAATTTAGATGTCCCCCAACTAGCTAAATCAAGGCAGGCTCAACTGGCCAAAGGCAGTGATGGGAAGGAAGGAGTGAAGGGGCTCCAGGAAGCAGAGCCATGCCACCTGCCTGCAGTCAGAGTAGGGGAGGTGGGGCTAGGCCAGCTTGGCTGTGCTCAGTGGCCACGGCTTGCAGTTGCCTGTGCATTGCTCTGATGAGGAAACTTGGGCCAGGCCCCATACGAGGATTCCTTTGTCTCTCAGCCCTGCAACCTGAAAGTGTCAAGGTCAGGGGACTGTCAGGCTGGCGCTGGGTTTCAGCTTTTGGACGTCTTGTCCCTCAGGTCCTGGCGGCTGTCTACAAGGCCCTGAATGACCATCACGTTTACCTGGAGGGCACCCTGCTGAAGCCCAACATGGTGACTGCCGGACATGCCTGCACCAAAAAGTATACTCCAGAGCAAGTGGCTATGGCCACCGTCACTGCTCTCCACCGGACTGTTCCCGCAGCTGTTCCCGGTAAGGCTTTCCTTCTTCTCTGACTTGAGGTCTAAGCCCTTATCCCGTGAAGGAGCTCCACCAGCATTTGTGCTTGCCCAGGAGTCTTGTATCCAGGAAACGGACCTCTGTGTCTCACAGGCGGCCAGCATGTCCCCTCACACTCCATGATAGCACAAGCTTGCATCTGTCCAAATGCACACAATCCATTGATTTCCTCAATAGGTCACCACCCTCCTTATTTATTAAAGCCCTTCTCTCCTTAGCCCCGCTAGCCTCGGGAGAAGCAAACTAATTTTTCCAACCCAGTTCCATGCAAATCAAGTAGAGAAAGGATGGAGGCATTCCATTTCTTTTAGGCTCCTGGCTTGCTCTCTCCAGCTGGGTAAAGAAGCTGGGAAGAGTAGAGTGCAATGGCTTCTCTCCTTCCAGGCATCTGCTTCTTGTCCGGGGGCATGAGCGAAGAGGATGCTACTCTCAACCTCAATGCTATCAACCTTTGCCCTCTACCAAAGCCCTGGAAACTCAGTTTCTCCTACGGACGGGCCCTGCAGGCCAGTGCACTGGCTGCCTGGGGTGGCAAGGCTGCCAACAAGAAGGCCACCCAGGAGGCTTTCATGAAGCGGGCCCTGGTAAGATGCTATTCCTTTTTGTTGTTGTTGTTTTTAGAATTTATATATTTACTTTAGAGAGAGCGAGCGAGCAGGGAGAGGGGCAGTGGGAGAGGGAGAGAGAGAGAATCTCAAGCAGACTCCCTGCTGAGCACAGAGCCCAGTGCTGGGCTGGATCCCACGACACTGAAATCACGATCTGAGCAGAAATCAAGAGTCAGACACTCAAACGACTGAGCTACCCAAGCGCCCTAAGATGCTTCTACTTCTTATCTACTTGATCGAGTGGATACTAGGAGCCTGGCTCTCTTACCTGGAGAAGCATTGTTTTCTTCAGAACGTGATGGTAAATCCAGAGAGTGTCTACTAGATAGTTGAAAAGGTGGCATTAGAGCTCAGTAGGAAGGTGGGGTTGTGGAGAGTTGTGGATGATTTGTACTGGGAGTATAGTTGATGACAGTGGACAGTAGATAATCTCCACAGAGACACTTGAGAGGGAAGAGAAGAGGGCCAAGGACTGAACCAGAGCACCTTTCATTTTAGGAAAAAATAGAAGAAAGCCACTAGGACAAGCAGCAGTAATAACATAGGAGGTGCCGAGGATCCTGGGAACCAATAGAAACAAGTTTCAAGGGGGTCGGTCATAACACACTATAGAGAGATTCAGAATAAAGGCTGAGAAAAAAAGCTGAGATTGGCATGTGGGAGCCTACCGGTGACCCTCAACACAACAGTTTCAATAGAGAGAGAAGAGGAAAAGTGCCCATTCAAGAAGATTGTCAGGAAAAGGGCCAGAAGAAGGACCAGGAGAAATGAGGACAGAAAAGGATTTTATTCAGTCAGGAACCATTCCTTTTTGAATATCTACTGTGAGCCAAGGACTGGGGTGAACAAAGGAGACACAGATACTGGCCTCAGGGAGCTTAGAGTTTAGCCAAATAGGAGACAGCCGGGCATGTTTAAATGTAAAGCACAAGGGTGATGGGTATTAAGGAGGGCATGTGCGGTGATGAGCACTGATGAGTGAGCAACTCATGAATCGTTGAACACCACATCAAAAACTAATGATGTATATGTTGGCTAATTGAACATTATAAAAAAATAAAGAAATTAAATGTAAAGCAAAAGGAGCCAGAGGAGAGATTAAAGATGAGGACAGTGGGGATAATTGAGAGGACACGGAGTTAGAAGAAACAGGATTGCGTGAGACTATTAAATGCAGGTGGCCGAGTTGGTCTCAGAGAGCAGGGAAGAGACAGCAAAGAAGAAAAAAAAATGGGTTTGGAATCAGGTCTGTAGACGTGAAGGGATGTAGCGGTTGATTACTGTCGAGGGCATCTGTTGAGGGGGATAAGGGAATGAAGACTTCCCTCTTCACAGCAGGGAAGCCTGGGATAGCTGTTGAAGTAGTCCGCTAGGAAAGTCACCAGACAGAATGGCCAAGCATCAGGCAAGGTGCGGCTGAAATGAGAGTGAGTTTGCAGTGCATTAACTTAGATCTGAAATTTTCCTAATAGCTCTCTTAATCATGCAGGAAGATCTAGAGCAATCTAAATGGGAAATAGGATAGAAGAGTAAAAGTTTAATAGAGAGGAGTGCTGAATTTGAGCAATAGCCGTATTCAGCGGCTTGCTGATCACAGAGGAGGCTGGGTGAGGAATCAAGCGTAGGAGGAGTTTGGCAATGAGGCACTTTTAAAGGGAAGGCAGACCCGAGAGAAGCTTAGAAGACATCTCAGGGGCATAAGAGAGGTGTAAGATGTTAGAGGTAGTTCCTTACTTTGTTAGGATGGAGAGCCTAGGTGTGGCTATGCTGGGGTGTGGCTGATGAGGGGCAGGGAGATGTGGCTAATATGAAGGAGGGATTGTGGAAGTAAGGGTCGGAAGAGCCATCCACACAAAAGAAGGGAAGCTGAGCTCATTTAGGATGGTGGTTCTCAAGCTTGAGTATGTATCCGAATCACCTGGACGGCATGTGAAAACAGATTCTGGGCCCCAGCCACTGAGTTTCTAATTGAGATGTCTGGGGTCAAACCAGAGAATTTCCATTTCTAAGAAGTGCTGAGGTCCATGCAACATGCTTTGAAAATCACTGTGGATGTAGAAACAAGTCCCAGAGAGAGCGAGATAATAGCAACAGGGACTTGAAGACATGGTACCATGGAGTGGTGCTCAAATTCTATTATTGCAGGTTTTGTAATTCTGAACTCCCCTTTAATTGGAATTTACACAAGGAACCAAATGATAGTATGATTACAACTACAAAAAATGATATATTCTTGTGGTCAAGTATAGATGGAAAATGGAAATTTTTAAAAAAGAGTTTTTAAAATTTGCTCTTGTACCTCTGGCTGCACCTTGCCTGATCCTTCGGCATAATGTCTGGTCCATTTTCTAGCAAACAGCTGCAGCAGCCCCTGCAATCTTCTCCACCAGAAACATCCACTCCCTTACCACTGTATCAACTTCAGTTTCTAATACTGTTGTTGCAATATTGTTGGTACTAAAAAGAAACTTTCTCAGTAACTGACACAAACTTCAGCTTGCCTGAGAGATGCTCAGGAAACTGGGATAAAAAAGGAGATAATGTATTACAGAAGGCAAGGAATGCTATCAGCACTAATATTTAGCAAAACCCCTGTAAGGAGAGAGAAATCCAGATGCAGGTGGAGCTGGTTTCAAATGAGAGCCAGAGGGTCAAATACAGGGTTGCGTTTGCTCTGACCCCATGTCCTTTTTCACGCTTGTTTTTTAGGCTAACTGCCAGGCAGCCAAAGGACAGTATGTTCACATGGGCTCTTCTGCTGCTACTTCTACTCAGTCCCTCTTCACAGCCTCCTACACCTACTAGAACCCCAGGCCCACCAGCCTGCCTCCAGCTCTTCTGGGTGTCTTGGTAGGAGGGCTGAAAGAGAACGACTTTTCTACTGACCCTGGAAGTTAGACAAAATCAGATTGGAACTACTGGAAACACAATGCATGTTAAATTCTTAGACACAACGAAAAAAAAATCAGTTCTTGAAACGTAGTCGTGAATATCAAGGATCTGACGAAATTTCATGCAATTTCCTTGCAACAGCTCCAGCTCCCCATGCCCCAGAGTAGAGTAGACTTGAAAACAAAACCAGCTCTCCGTTGGAATAATGACCACCTCAGAAGCTGAGTGTGGAGAAGTGTGTCTTATTCAACAATCGTAGCAGTGGTAGGTTATGAAGGAGGCAACTGCAACCAAAAAAGAAATAAAATGTTCTAGAAGCCTTCAGCTGGTATCAGGTTTTACTTTCCGCTCCTGCTTCCAAAGGGCTCAGTATAGTTCATGACCTTTGACTCTACTAGACATGACTGGCATTAATGGTCAGGGTCCTCAACTAGGGCTACTCATTGAAATCATCTGCCAAAAACGTAAACACCAGATGTTCAGACCACACTCCAGCCCAGTTAAATCAGAAACTCTGGATGTGGGATCCTCTAAATATCAGGGTTTCTTAACAGCTTCTTTGGTGATTCCAAAGTATAGCCACATTTGAGAACTACCATGCTAAATTTCAAGTCTGAGGACATTTTAAAATGAAAGCCCTTCATAATAGGAAGCAAGCTACACTGTAAAATGATTTCAAGCAACATGCAGAGTGTAATGGGAGAATCAGTGTGGCTATGATGCTCGCAGCGTTCCTTGTGAAGTGACCCACATTTGGTGACACACACCCACTCCCTATGTACATCTGAGCACACTACCTCGGTTTGCAGGAAATACAATTCACATAATTATACTTTATTGCGGCTTTCAATGTTCAGAATTAACCGAGAGAAAAAGCATTAAAGATAACCATAGTTACAAAAGAGAATTTAAATATAATTTTGCACGATATAAAAATTATGATTTTGGTGGAAAAAAAAAGTAATGACTTTACTGACAAGCTAGGAAATTAAAGGAAGAGGAGATGTAGAGAGAAGTGAAGGGAACATTCATTTACTTAGTGGGGAGTCAGGATACTACTTAAAATTGATGGATTAAGAAACAGTGCTTAAAAAAAGAAATAGTGCTTTAAGTCTATTAAAGGGAATGGATATAAATCATTAAAATATTCCTACGTATAATTAAATATAGGAGAAAAGTAGTAAACTAAATTCTTTATCTTGAAGAGTGCAAAGATAAATGATATTGCTTAGAGTAGATAAATTAAGAACTAGAGGCATACACATAGCATTTAGAGGAATAAGACAGAATTAGTCCAAAGGCACTTTGTCTGAGGAGAGAGACTTGGGAATGAGGCACGGGGAAGATTTTTACTCATGTGTCTCTACTACAATTTGAGTATTTGTTTCCATATACCTGTATTAGTTCTGTAAAGACAACTGTATTCATTTGGCCCGAGGCTTTCACTTTTACTAGGATGATATAACCAAGCTGAGAGCAGTTAAATTACTTGCCGATGGTCACACATACAGGGGTTTAGGGGTTGAGAGCTGAGAAATTAGAATTCAGGTCTCCTCCTATAATGGGCACATGACCAGGGAGGAAGGTAGGGACAGGGCAACAGGCAGTGTTCAAAACCTCTGCCACCAGTGTTGTAGGTCTTCTACATCTCCTTTCTTCTTCTTCTTCTTCTTTTTTTAAAGATTTTATTTATTTATTTGAGAGAGTGTGTGTGTTGTGCGAGTGGGGGGGAAGGAGCAGAGAGAGAGGGACAAGCAGATGCCGCACTGAGCTCAGAGCCCAATGTGGGGCTCCATCCCACAACACCGAGATCATGACCTGAACCAAAATCAAGACTCAGATGCTTAACCAACTGAGACACCCAGGTGCCCTGGTCTTCTACATTTTTTACTGCATTCATTCATTCATTCATTCAATCAGCAAACAGGGGAGCTCCTACCATGGGTTAAATTGTCCTAAAACTGGTAATATCTGGTGTGACAAAACACTGCTGCCAGAAAATTTTTTCTAGAGCTTACTTTAGCATCACTGAGCCTATGTTGTAAAGAAACCTCCTAGATTCTTGGGTGCCTGGGTGGCTCAGTTGGTTAAGCAACTACCTTTGGCTCAGGTCGTGATCCTGGAGTCCCGGGATCGAGTCCCACATTGGGCTCCCTGCTCGGCAGGGAGTCTGCTTCTCCCTCTGGCCCTCCCCCCCTCATGCTCTATCTCATTCTCTCTCTCAAATAAATAAATAAAATCTATAAAAAAAAAAAAAGAAAAAGAAACCTCCTAGATTCTCATTTATGGTTTTAGCGAGAATCTATAACCAAGGTTGAGTTATTTAAGTATTTTGATCCCGGCCAAATTACATTTCGCTGGGGATGAGGATTAACATAATGCATTGTCCTGGCTATCATCTGATATATTTTCCCAACTAAGGCACTACAGTTGTCTTGGAAATCTCAACCCCAGTACTTTACTCCACTGAGGGTAATATGAAGACAAGTGTTATAAGTCTATAGACTTGAATTTCTATTAACTGTTTAATCACTGAGTGAATATATTAGTGGCTTCCTACCTTTTGGTACACCCGTCAGATTTATTCTAGTAGTTATTGAACACCTACTAAAAATAAAATTTGGTACTAGGAACTGAAGGTAATTAAGAGAAGTTTCAGCTTTAGGGTAGGCATGACATTTGCATACCACACAATGAAGCTTAAGTAGCTAAGCAAGAAACACAGATACCACTGACTGGAGGTTGAGAAGTGGGAGGAGATAGCATTTAGGGTGGGCATCAAGGGAGGGCAAAAGGCAAGGAACTCTTAGAACTGTCTTTTTTTTTTTTTTAAAGATTTTATTTATTTATTTGAGAGAGAGAGAATGAGAGACAGAGAGCATGAGAGGGAGGAGGGTCAGAGGAAGAAGCAGACTCCCTGCCGAGCAGGGAGCCTGATGCAGGACTCGATCCCGGGACTCCAGGATCATGACCTGAGCCGAAGGCAGTCGCTTTAACCAACTGAGCCACCCAGGCGCCCAGAACTGTCTTTGTGTAAGAAAATTTACTGGGAGAAGATGATAACTCGAAGGCAAAAGTATCAAAAGCCAAGGTCACAAAAAATTATTAAATTCTGGAAGGAATAAAAGAGGAATTTGGTTTTGCTCTGAAGAGGAAGGAGGAGAGTAGGGAGAGAAGGGGCAGGGAAATGAGCCAGGATAAAGGATGAAATGAGAAAGGAGGGGAAAGGGTGTAGGCAGGGAGAAGCCAAGGCAATATGGAACTGGGAGAGGTGACTAAATAAAGCACTTTTCAGAAGGTGGAGAAATCTCAAGCAATCTAAAGACATTTGTCTGCTTGAGAGGAAGAGCTGAGTTTCACATGAGTTTCCATCCTGCTATTCAAAAACAAGATCCTGAGATGATTCATAATGTGAATTAATTTAGCAGAAGCTGAAGCCAACTGTGACAATGAGAATATAAGCCTCTAGAACTTTGCAGAAATGTTGGAGCAGGCTTTACGCAATACAGGAAGGGACTTCTGGTCCATCTGATTTAGCCCTCCTGGGGTGAAAGCCTCCAGCTGACATCTACATTTCCTTGCAGCAACAGCAGAGGACCCGGGGTCCAGGGCACCAAGGCAGTTGTCCAAGGTCACATCACCAGTCGGTGAGACTTGCAAAGTCCTCTGGGAAGGCAGTATTTGGGGTCGTAAAAAGCAGCGGTTCTGGAGTCAGACAATCTAAATTCAAATGCTGGCTCTGCCACTTACTAGCCATGTGACCTTGGGCAGACTGTACAACCTTTCTGTGTTTCTTCATCTCCAAGAAAAAAAAAAAAAAGGACAGCATTGCAAATTACTGAGAGATTAAATGAGTCAATACATCTCAATAACAGGTTCACATCCCTTATCGTGATTTTCACAATCCTGAAATCCAAAAAGCTCTGAAAACCAAGTTCTCTCCTAAGTTTACCGCAAATTATTTGACGGCAGAACCTTACTTGAGGCTGTAATCTTTATTCCACTCGATGGGATGCGGAGCTACTGTGTCTGATTTTAGGTGCTGACTCAGACCCTGCAGAGAGAGTTATACAATATATAGCATAAGCTCTATATTTAATCTCTAAAATCTGAAAAATGCTGATTTCTCAAACACATACACCCTCAAAGCTATCAAAGAATTGTGGACCTGTCCTTAGAACAGTATCTACCTCACATGTAGGGTAAAAATGCATTATCTATGCTCAAGAGAGCCCAGAGGGCTCATGTAGTGCTACCAATTCCCTAAGGCCATTTTCTAGAGAGGATGAATGAAGAGACAGGAGTAATGGCAAAGCTCAACACAGCCAGTCATAGCTCTTTTTTCATTACTCAAATAAGTATGTTTTCCAGGTTGTAACACAGTCTGTCCTAAGCCTCCTGAAATGGTCACTCAATGCTGGGTATCAGTCTCTATAAACATTTGTAAAATCAGTCAACGTATTCATTTATCACCTGCAGTATGCTCAGCGATGTGAAGATACTGAGATGAGGAAGACAAGGATACAGTTAGGAAACAAAATGGTACACAATAATGTGCCAAATTAGTAGCATAGGCGAGGTGCTGGGATCAAAGGGGCTTTATAAAGACCATGGGATGAGTTACAGTTTATTGCTAGTTATATGACCTTGGGATCCAAGCCTCAGTTTCCTTATCTGTAAAATAAGGTTGCTGTGAGGTTAGAAATATTTTATGTTGAGTGCCAGATACATAAGTTGTGAATAAATATTATGTTTTTTCCTTGCCAGTTGGCTCTTGGAGAATGGTGAAGGCACTTGAGTGGCTGTGTAAGATGAATTAAATTTATGACTCGAGTACAGATCGTGTATGTTGAGGACACCGTTGGAAATTATAGGGTGAGGCCAAGTGGAGCAGCACAGTGAAGGGGAAGGGGAGATTGGGCAGGGATATTATGGAAAGTCTTGCC